AGGAATGTTGTCGTGAAATGGGGCCTCAGCTGGAGAGTGAGTAAACACTCAATGGAATTTGATCAGTTTATTAGTAATTTTGCAGGGTTTTCACTTCCTTAATATAGACTGAAAAGCAACAGCTTTGAAATAGTTCAAAGAAAATACTTCCACCCCAAATGTCCTAATTGTCTGATAGGAACAAAGTAATTCCCATTTGTCTTGCCTTCATTTCAGCCTGTTTTAGGGATAGAAGTATATTTTAATAGAAATGACTGTATCCAGTATCCTGTGTCAGCAGTGCTTACCACTAGATGCTACACAGGAATAACCAGCTGCATAATGTGGTTCATTGCACAATACTGGCATGGGGGCATTGGAATGATTGGTTCTGAAAAATATCTGCTGATCTCTGCTGATCTTCATATTGGGTAAGGGCATATCTACATTGTTGCGTTTACTCCAGGTTCTTTATATGTTTTAGCCTAAACTTTCCTTTCATGCAGCCACATAAAGACCAATTACATTTGGGTTTTCATGCTATGAGCCCTTGCTTGCACTGGGAAAGGCATGGGTCAAAAGCCAGTGTTTTGTTTTTAGGCAGGCTTTAACCCTCCCTCCCCTCCCCGCCTTGTTTTGCGGTAAGGTTGCAGCTTGTGTGGCTGCGTTGGAGTTTAGATAGCTTTTTACCTTCTTACAATTTCCAGGGCCCGTGCTGTTCTGGTCCTTCTGATTAATCATTCTGTACTCAGCTCCTGTGCATTGGAAGTCACCTACTCGAGCAAATTGTGGTACAGTATAAGTATTCCAAAACTGAAAGATCCAAGTACCTTAAGGCAAAGACTGTTAAGCCCAGCAATTCATCTACTTGTCACTACAATACAGAATTTGTCTGAGTCATTCACACCCCAAGTACCGAGCATCTGGTCATGCGTGACAGATCTGAGCAGGAATGGTGTAATCCCTAGACGAAAGCAAGACAGGATGGGACCAGAGGAGTCCGCTGACAGAAGAGCGCACACAGTTGCAGGATCAATTCTGGTGCTGAAAATGGCTGTGGAACAGGCTATATGCTTGAATGACCTAATGAGCATCTTGGGGCCATATTTTAAGGATATGTTTGGGGATGGGCCCAGGTAGCGTCCTGGACAGGAAGTGGCACTGGAACTGCAGCTGGGTAAGTGGGGCTTCCATCTTTGTTATAGGGGAAATTATAGTATAAGTGGGAAGGGTTTTAGAGTTATGAATAATAAAATGATTTCAAAGGATAATGTGCATTTGGAGTTTGAGGGTGGTAGCCATGCTGCTTTGGTAGCCATCCTTCCATGTGTAATCCAAGATGGATTTCAACATGGGGGGAAAATGCAAATGATGTTATTAATAAAATAATACTATTTCTAAAAAATCATAATCATAGGTTTAGCAAAGACTAGTGAGCATATGTAAATACTATGGATACCGCACTGTTTGCAGTTGCCACATGAATAGACAGATTGGCTGCGTCCACATGAATGAAGAAGTTTGTTTCCATGGGGACAAGTAGTGGTGGCTCACCTTGTAACCCCAGCAGCCTTACCTGGGGGCCTCAGGAGCTACAGCCACGGTGCTCCTGCAGCTGGGATCTCAGCCAGGCTCTGGTTTTGGGTGGCACCCACTGCTGCCATGTGTGCTGCCCCACTTTTTTTGCCATGGGTTTTTTGACCCTGGGCTCTTCCAGGGCCAAACCCCCTCCCCATCACCCTGGCCCTGCAAGGTAGAAGATAGGTCTGCAGCACCACATGCCGCATGTCCATGCCTGTCTGGGTGCAGCCATTAATGCCATTATTCACATTAAAAAATGGTCTTAGCCTTGGTAAATCCCAATGGTTATATTAAAGTCTTTGGAGAACATTTCCATTTAGTCCTGTCTGTTTCCGGCATTGTCTTTAGGAGGGCAGCACATTCAAATCCAGTCCTAGCAAGACTTTGCTTCCTAGTTCACATCTTAATGTTTGCTCAAATGTTCCTGTATTCCTGTTAGATAATGTTTCTGAATTGTTTTATGTAGGAGGAACTCTGCTGGCCCCTGAGATTCCTGGGCAGGGCAGATTTCCAATGTCTGCCTCTAACTTGCCAACTCTCTCCTCTTCTTGATGTGCCATTCAGTTAGGAAGTGACAAAAAGATTTCATTGGCACATAGAGATGGAATCCATCACTAGCCTGAAAGAGTTTCTTCCTCTTCCATTCTGGGACTTCAAGCAGGTTAATATATTAGGGCTTCCCCCTTCTGAAATATGTTTGAAAACAATCCTAATAAAGGACCCTTGCTCTGATTTCCTGTCTCCTCATCTAGGTCCCAAAAAGTTTCAATTTTCTAAAAACTAATTAAACCTGAAACTGTTGCCATACGGTCTCTGGTTTGGCTAGGTAGCTAGCAAGGCTTTCTGAACGGGTTGATACATAAAAATAGAACGAAAGCATATAGACTAAGTGTCAAACTGGCCTTGTAGTGATGCAGAACATGGAGAAAATATGGTTTGTTTTTTTCTTGGCAGGCCCTTCCATCTCTGCTGCCGAAAGACATCCGCTCAAGACTGTTGAACAAGCCTGAAGACCATTGAAAAAGGCCCTTGTATGACGTTCACAAGTCAGCCTAAACTACTTAGTAAGGAAGAAGAGTGGAACATGAGAGAGACAAAATCAAGGAGGAAGAGGGCATGGTCATGCATTTCTTTGAGCAGCGGAAAGAGGAGTAGGACCAAGCACAGCCCACCAAACTGCAGCCCCAGCTCCTGCAGCAGCATTAAGTGCTGGACTCTTAAAGCCACTGCAGTATTCAGGGCTGGGTGGGCTGTATATTACTCCAGAAATTGCCCCTTGAATTCACTCCAGTGTTTCTGACGTAAGGAGCTCATGCCAGATACCCAATTCTATTATTAGTGAAGATGTTTTGCTTGCACTTTAACTGGCATAGTTTTGCACTTAGTTTTCTTTGTATGTTGAAGGAAACTAGTATGCTTATAATTTTTTTAAGTCTTTATTTTAATACTATTTTTGCTTTGTTAATAAATGTATTTGGTTATAAAACGTAGTTACTGTGAGTGCTTTCTGAAAGAAAGGAATCTGAATTATAGCCAAAGCTTCCATTAAAGTACTTGATTCACTTGCAATATCAAACACAAATAATCACAGTCGTTTGTGTAATGTATGTAATGATCAGGGATCTGGGTTTTCCATTTCCCATGGAAAAAATGGAGTAAACTGCAGATTTTACCTGGTACTAGAGGAAAATGCAGATTTCTCATTTTACTGGAGAAACCCATGGATTTTGCAGTTTTGTGACAAGCTCTCTGCAGACTGGCATCCTGCAAGGGGCTGGGAGGAAGCGAGAGGAGTGTGGTCTGGCAGGGGGTGTCACGTGCATGTGGTCGCCAGACAGCCTGGAGAACATTTCCCGCAGGTAAGTTGAGGAGAGCAGGGGGATTGAGGCTCCCATAGGGAGGGAGGGAGTTGGGCTGGAGCTCCTGCCCAGCTGGGCAGTGCTTGGAGTTTGAGGCCCAGGGCTGCAATGTGTGGCTGCAGGGCCCGGGCGGAGTGTGGGATGGGGCCATGGGTGGCTCATCTGGGCAGGGGGCTGGGGCTGACTGCCTCCCTGCTGCTGCTTGCACTCTCAGGGGGGCAGGGAGAATCTGTACCCCCAGATATGTGCATGGGATGGGGGCAGGGTGGGTTGGGAGGGGCTGTTCCCCTCTGCTGCATGCACTCCCAGTGCATGGTGTGGGCTGCCTGCTATGGGGGGGAGGGCTGCTCCCCACTTCTGTGTGCATTCCCAGGGGACAGGTGGACCTGTGAATCCTTGATCAGTGCGTGGGGCGGGGTGGGCTGTCTGCTTCAAGCTCATGCTCCCTGCCCTGCAGCCCTCCCCCGGGGCCTCTGCAGCCCAGCATGTGTGACCAAGCACTGCCAGGTACAGTGGAGCCGTGCAGGAAGCTGCCTGCTGCTGCTAGTTCTGCACTGCCCGTGTACCCCGTGTACAGCCCTGAATCGCTGCAGCCTCACAGGCAGGGGGTGCCTTGCCATGGCAGCATGGAGCTTGCAACAGCAGGCAGATTCCTGCATGGCCCCATTGTTTTCCGGAGCGCCAGGTCACACGCTGGGCTGTGGAGATCCTGGGGGAGGGCAGCAGGGCAGGAGCCTGCAGTGTGCAGCCTCCACCCCATGCACAGATGTGGGGGGGCACAGGTCCCCTTGCCCCCCTGGAAATGCGTGCCATGACAGGGAGTACTCCCACCCCTGCCCAAGCCCACAGCTAGCAGGTAACAGGGGGAGAGCCAGGCTCTGCTGCAGCACCCACCACCTCCTGCCATGAGCAGGGGGCTGCAGACCCAGGTCCCTGACCCTGTTGCCCTGGCAGTTGGGGTGTCCCCCTCTGGCAGGGCTGGGGGAGCTGGAGCAGCAGCTGTGGGTGGGGGGCAAGGACCACCAGCAGAGCTGGGGGGATTTTGGGGGGAGTGAGGGGCAGAAGCAGAGCTGGGAGGTTGTGGCTGGGAGTGAGGGGCAGGAGCAGGGCTGTAGGTGGGGAGTGAGGGGCACTGGCAGGACTAGGGGGCTGTGGGGGGAAGTAAGGGGCACCAGGGGGGCTGTGGGGGACCTTTCATTTTAATCACAGTTTTTAGGGGTTTTAATCAAAATCTGCAATTTTTTTATCAAAGCATTTGCGATTTTTTTTTTTTTAATTTTTTTTTTTTTTATCAGGGAAAACCAGGATCCCTGGTAGCAATGCACAGCATAACATCTTCTCACGTATATAAGTTACCCTGTAATGAAGGATGTGGGCACACAGAGAATCCCATATTTCACCTATTTAGACCCAATTCTAGTGATAATTGGTGCACTGCTTGCTTCCCTGTACTGGGCCTACAAGCCTGAATGTTTTGAGCCTGCTGTAAGGGAAAATGATCATGCTTGTCCTTGCAGATATTGTACAGTATGCAGCACACCACAGTAGTATGGATCAAAATGGTTTTGCAGATGACTGTATTTTTCTTCAGTCTGCCAAATGTGTGCGCTCCAAGCGTTATGACTTTAAGTGCAACTAAACCTTTTGCAAGATTTTCTGAAGAGTTTTATGAGCTATGGGAGGAGAGGGTGGGTAGGATCCTCTACACTATAAGTGCATACAGATGTTGTGTGGATGATCACATTGTTTGGTCCCAGACTCTCCAAACAGGTAAACCCTAGATCTTTTTGGCAACGAATGTTATGCTCTTTCCAAATGTAGTTCATGGCTGTGTTCATGAGCCTACCTTTGTGGCTGAATGAGGCTTACGGAACAGTCCCTTTTGTGAGTGATACCACAAGGAGGTACGTGAAATGTAGGCAGTGGCTTTTTCCTAACTATACCGAGGCCTTTTTTGCAAAGCCCGCTTTTAATTTTGGTCACATTAACTAGTGGTCATGCGTATGAATAAACCACATTGACGACTTCACAAACCCCTACAATAATAGTACAGAAGTTTGACTTGCAAACCCCTAAGTGGTTAGGCATGGCTTATTGTGATTTAATGTAGCCATTTTCAAGATGCAAGGTGGAAGTTGCAAACTGCTTTTGACCTTGATTGTGTTCCGGCTAGGAGTTTGGGGCAAGATCTCCTTGCAGTCCCATGAAGGTCCACTCTCGCGTGGAAGTTCTGGAGTCCCAGCTTGGTCCACCCGGGCCTTCATGATTATCATATGTAGTTCCAGCACTTTGAACTACTTGCCTTGCACAAAGAATACTAGTTTGCCGTTACTGCATCTCCACTTTGCCATGAACAAGTTCCCTTCAAAATTGTAAATATATCCTGGTGCTAACCTAACTCACTCACTGTCCCTAGTAGCCTTTGATCCTCACTACCTCGCATTGCATTTTTATATATTTCTCGCAGTGCATTTTTATATTTCAACTGTCTCGTCTTTACTATGGCATTTTATATTTTATACTTTTAAACCCTTAAGGAATTGTACTCCCTATAGAATGAAATTATACCCCGGAACATTGTTTAAAACTGCACTGAAATTGTATTTGGAAAGTGATAAAATCTGCTATATTGGGCTGGTCCCTGAGTGAATGCTAGTATGAATGACAAACCAAGAACCTCTGTCAGAGGAACTTACCATTACAAAACTCTACTGTACAAGCCATTTTAGGCTAATCAAGTCAAGGAACTGATTCCTAGAACTGAGCACCCACCCTATTGACTATTCTTGTAACCCATGACAATACAGCCATTGAGTCAGTCAAGTCAAGGGTGGACTCCCGAAACGTAGGTACCAGCAGGCAGAGACCCCTGTGATTAACAGCTCTCATGCATTACTCAAGACTCATGTGAGACAGCAACCTCCAAATTGGGCAGCCAGGATGATGCTGGGGGATCACACAAGTCTGCCAGAAAGGGATAAAAGGCAGTGAAGTGTGACCCTCAGTGGTCCCTTCTCATCCAGTACCTGACCTGCTAAGACAGAAGAACAAGTAGGCGACCCCCCTTTTGGAGAAGACATTGCCTTGAAGGAAGCTGACCATCAATAGCAGACTCCAGAACTTTGGATAAGTAGATATACAACACCAGTGCTCTCAGAATCACTACAGCAGCTACTATACACTATAGTACACAGGTTATGAGTGAGTGAGTGTGTTAAGCTGACCAGTACCCTTAGTAACTCAAAGTTTGCATTTATGGTTTTATTGGTAACTTCACATCCCATCCAATGAACTAGAATTTATTATGATCTCGAGAGTTGGTCCTTTGTAGCCAACACAGACAGTTAAACTGCACTATGAGAATAGTATATTGTCATTAATAAATTGCCCCCCACAGCCCTAATTTCATGTAATCTGGAAAATTTAGATCAATAACAATCCAAATATATGGTTAAAAATAAACATTGATATTATGTCAAAATTTTTAAAAATGGAGTTCTGTCAAGCCTACATATGACAGCAAAGGGATTTCCTTTGCTGGCATTGGGACACTAATGTACTTTCAGTCTGGGAAAGAAAAATCATCACTCATGTAGAAATACTTTCTGCGTGTTGTAACATGATGCCCTACAATTTTGGTGTGTAATTGAACCATCTACAGCATTTTGATTTTTTTGTTGGTTTGTTTCTTTCATCTTATGGCTTAAGATATTTCAGTTCCTTACTTTTGAAGATCCAGTCTTTTTCTGGTTATTCTTTCACACCTAAGATTGTTACAGGTACAGTTACATTTTTTTAATCTCAGAAAGATAATTTTTCTAGCACTTTCATTGTCATATTTTTCTTTCCGTATAGGTTGAGGATCTCAGGAATAGTATAGATGACATCTCACAAAATGTGGAAGAAGTTAAGAAAAAGCACAGCATTATCCTGTCTGCACCAAATCCTGAAGGCAGTAAGTCCTTTAAAAAAATATTAAATATGTATGGTAGTTACATGGGTGGGTACTGCTAATGGATAGGTTACGGTTCATCAGAATAGAGTTTTAGAGCTGTGTTTCTCAACCCCTGGGTCACGACCCAAAAGCGGGTCACAAGAACATATTGAAAGGGCTGCAAACAAACTTTAAAAATTGATTCTTCTTTACAGGAGAAAAACATGGGAAACCGTGGCTTTTTCTTGCAGAGTTCCAGCCTGCCAGGGGCTGCTTGAGGCACCCCCCACCCGCTCCACACACTAGAGGCTTGGGGCAGAGGGCAGCGGGGCAGGAGTAAGGAGCACTGGGTCAGGACTGGCCATCAATGTTTATATATGGGTCCTGGTCCAGAAAAGGTTGAGAACCACTGTCTTAGAGGGTGTTAGAACACTGTAAAATGCATAGAATGCAGTGCCTTTCTATATATATCTCCAATATTAAACAAATTGAAATACATCCTTCTAACTTGTCCATTTCAGCTTTAAAATCACATTTTAAACAAATATCAATATTTTCAAAATGCATTATATAAGTCCCAGAAACCAGACAGAAACTCACCCTATTCAGTTTGTTAATGTAGTGTTGGTTCTTGTTCATGTTGGTTTTTGTTATTATTGAATTTTCATTAACTTGGAAACAGCATCCCTTTTGCTGTTTGAAACTGCTTTAGGTCTTCAAAAAAAAGTCTTAGTTGTTGGAAGAGTGAGACTAATGCTCCTTCCTTTTGTTTTTGCCAAAAAAAAAAGTGGGGGCTGGAGAAAGAGAGAAAAAATACCAGCCATCAAACTGCTTCACTGGTCTGCTGAAATGGAGAAATCCCAGATTGAGAGGTCTTATGTAGGAAGTCCTGTGGAGACAAATTTCTACTTTCAGAAAGAAGAAACTGGTCACTAGGGAAAGCTGCCTACTACAATGTCCACTTTTGTTGAAGGAACAACACTTAAATTTATTTGTGAAGACAATCTATACAGAAAGATGTATTTGTAGTGTTGAGATCTAAAGCAAGGGTGTCAAACATGAGAAGTGGGTCATCCAGCCTGCAGGGTTTCTCACTGGTGAGACCACTGACCTGTGTGTGCTGGACTTGGCCTGCAGGGCCATCGTTGCAAGTGGCCCAGCTCCTGTGACAGCAGTGTTCATCTCCACAGATACTGGAGATGCTGGTTCAGCATGACTCCTCCTTGCCGCCCCCCCGATTCAGGTGGTTTTAGTCATCCCTGGCAACTAATATGGGTGGGAAGGGGAAAGGGGATCTGAACTGCAGCAAAATGGGTTTAATAAACATATGGGAGTATTTGAAGATGGGTGGATAAGGATAATGGTAAGAACACATAATTACACAAATTAGCAACGTCCACGCTCAACAAGGTTAAAAAAAAATTGAGACATGCTTCTCAGAGCCAAGCTATACTTGATATAAAGCACAAGTGGTGCCGTTAGGTATGAAGCCAACTTTAGAGCTGTATTAAGCTCCTTGTTCAACTTAAAAGAAATTCCATGGTTGCTGTAAATGGCACCCTTTGTGCCCATTTTTTCAGCTAGGGATCATTGACCAATGACTGTGAAGGGGTAGAGTAGAGCAGAATATATCCTTCTGGATTTACCCCATCCTGGAGAAATCCTTATCTGCTTGGTAGGCCACCTTTAGAGCTCCTTTGCTTTGCTCTTCTCCCTCAGATGTCTTACAGGCCCTGAAAATTGGCCTAAAATATATTTACATCTACAGATAATTAGTCTCTTTAGTTCTGAAGCTTCTTTTAGTAAAGCTTGCAACTCTGTTTTTCACTGGGTATCAGGGTGTATATAATTACATCAGTACAGCATATGTGCTAGCATTGCATGTATACAATTGTGTTTTTGTTTAGCAGTGAAGAATTACTCTTCTGTCCATTCATCACTCATTAAAACGTTCAAGTTTGTTTTCCTGTTTATAAGAATATCTGTATATTTATCTCAAGAAAGCATAATGCATAGGGCACTGCTTTCATTTTGAATGCACTTTTGGCCACTTCACTATTTCAAGTAATCCTACTAATAGCTATAAAGTGCTTTACGGAAGTCCATGTGTGCCTGTTGACAAGATGTAGCCTTTAAAAACAAAACAAAACATTGTCATCAGCACCACGTGCCCATATAAAAGCAGCGTATGATGAGAAACTATTTAAAACTGCAGTCTGGCTTTCAATGGGACTTGTGCTTCTAAGTCATCTAGGCCTTATCATATGCATCTATATGTCTAAGAGCTTGATTCGTAAGCTACTTACAGCATCTGCTTCTTGGATTCGCTGTAGGGACTTAGCTAAATCCCTCTACAGTGAAATATAGGCAGTGCCTGGTACAGTGAGGTGATGTGGTATGTGGAAAACAATCACTGGTAAGTGGACAGAAGTGTATACGTACACTATTTATAAAGAAAAAAGTGTTTGAAAAATAATTACCTTGATGAAAAGAAATCACTGTACTTTGTTGTTTGAAGCCCTACTTTTAAAATCCTACTTAAAAAAAAAAAAAAAAATCCTTAATGATTTAGAATGAAATGCTGTGACCTTTGCTTTTAGTTAATGAACTTGTTAATATTTCCCAAACTTGAACACATGCAGTGACAAATATAAACCTAAAAAATGCAAACCTGGTTCTGGTATAAAACATGCACATCTTTTAAAGAATGAATATCCAGGAACCTTCTCAACATGACTGTCACTGATTCTCACTGCTGTAACATTGCAAGGAGGAAATTAGATATTAAAAGATTTTAGCTTCCTTTATTAACTTAATACTTGCTGTGGTTGACAGCATCTAAAAGTTACTTAACTCTGCAGTTTATTTCTATTGCTTATCATTTTCTCATTTAAATAGTTGCAACAAAAGTATTTCCCCATTTGTCAGTAAACAGAATGGTAAGAAAAACTCAAAGTTACCTTGCTACCGATGTGGACGTTAATATTATTATTCCGTTTCTTTCTGCCATAATATTCATACATGCACTAATTTTAAGGTATCATCAATGGAGAAATCTGATCGTCTGTGCACTGTATAACCATAAAGTTTTAAAGGGTTTGTTTTCGTAGGATTTTTCAGCCGACTAGATTGGTCCTAGTGCATTTGTACCAAAGTGGGAACAAGGGTGGAAGACTTTCCCCAAATTATTGTTATGGAAAAAATATTTAATGCTTGATTAACTACTGCATCGCTTCACTTTGTACTAAAATATCATCATTGGTTTAAGTGAAATTACACTGCCAAAAATCTGGAGTAATAATCTGGATTTGATATGGAGCGATTAATCAGGCCTAAAGAGCAAAACAGGTTATGGGAGGAGGGGAAAGAGGGAGTATAATTGGATGCCAAGTGCAATGGGATTTAGGTGCAGCAAGTTGTTACTGGTTGCAAATTGGCCAAGTTAGGGCTCCAGTTCCTTGGCACTATCTCCAAGAAGAACTTCTTTTGCCTGGGAGAGGAATATTTCTGTAAGAGGGTGATTCTGCACTGGAGAGAGTTAGTGGGGAAGTCACTAAGAAAAATTAGCCCTAAGGAAGGGGCTGCTTTTGCTTATAACTGTCACCTTGCTGCTGTAGAAAATGGAAGGCTTATTTTAATTAGAAATTGAGACTAAATGGTTTTTGCACTAATCATTAGGTGTGCAACAGAATCACACGAGGCCATATTGTTTGTGAGAAAGTTGATATCTGAACGGCGTATATTTAATTTGTTGTATGATGCTAGTAAAGATCAGAAAAGTGTGTATGCTATAACTAGAAAGAAATGGGAAGTTGAAGGAAGGAAGGGTGTGGAGAAAGCTCCATAGCTTCGATTAAATAGTTTCTTTGAAACACAATACGTTCTGTTGAGACTAAGGGTTCTGATATCAGGTTTGTTTGACTAGTCAAAAGACTTGTGTTTAAGTTTCAAATGTAAAATGAGAGGAAGGAAAAGAGAATGAGAAACGCAGGTGTTTGTGCAAGTGTTAGTACAGAGTGGCATTTATACTAGGTACGATTAAACAGTTTTTATTGTTTTGAAAGCAAAGTTGTTGCATATTTTTTTTAACTTATTTTAGCTCTGCATCTATATGGTTACTAATTCAGGTTCACCAGTATTTTTAAATGTGGAACTTTGTAGAAAGTTTCTGCCAAACAGTACATAAGATTTAAAACCTAAGGTGTTTTACCAGATTCAAACTTAGAACTCCAAAAGATGCATCTGTTTTGTAATCTCATCAATATTCTTTTATTTATGAAGGTCATAGTACTCGATGGTCCAATACAAATTACCTAATTAAAATATGCAGTAAAAGATGCATGGCATCTAGTTTGAGTATCTGAAAATGTAATGATAATAGAAGTAAACAACATCACTATCTCTTGTTATGTCCATTAGAGCTGGCTCCCAACATGGGGCATATTGCTGAAGCACCTCTCCACAACTTTTCTGAATGTCATGGCACCCCAGTTGAAAAGCAATGAGATGGATCCAAATTCAGGAAAAATATGGAGGGGGCATTGAGGCTAAATGGTTGAGAATCAGACCTAGTTGGTGGGGGCAGGATCTCACCCTGCCGTGCCCTTCTCTTTCTACTTCCTGCCCCCTCCCAACTCCTTGTCTGTACTTCGTGGGGGTGGGGGGGGAAGAGTGCAGCCCCTATTGCTATGGCTGCTCCAGCAGGGTCTCGCATACTACCAGCCACCCTTGAGGCCTTTCCTGCCAGCCCGAGGAGCATGGGAAGTGTGGAAGGGACAAGCCAAGTGTGTGTCCATGGGCTGTGTCCAGTGCCTGTCCCAGGTGGCAGCAGGAGCCTCCTGTCATCCAGCGTGCAGATCCGGGGTCCTGCAGCCCCAGGAGGAGTCCAGCACAGCCCTGCAGTCCTCCTAGGGCACAAGTCCCTGGATCGGCACACCGGATGACAGGAGGATGCCACTGCTACCTGGGGCCAGCAGCAGCAGCAATCTTCCCCATGCCCAGCACTGGTCCCAGGCGGCAGTGGCAGCCTCCTGTCATCCAGAGTGCAGATCCGGGGGCCCACACCCCCGGCGGGAGTCTGTCGCAGCCCTGCAACCCTCTCGGCGGTGTGAGCCACCAGATCTGTGCGCCGGATGACAGGAGGCTGCTGCTGCCAGCAAGTGTCACGAGTTTTGCTTTGAACAGTTTGAGGTGCAGTTTCCCAGAAACCTCTGCACTTGTCTCCTTGAAACATGGCAGGCTTCATGCCCTCAGAAGGAGCTACCATCCCTGCAATTTTCATCTGAATCAGGCAAGAAATGACAGTTTTAGGCATTTTCATGATTCTCCATTATAGCCTATGGGCGAAACAGTTTCAATGAAACGAAACAGAACAGTGCTTTGAAACGAAACAAAATGACGAAATGAAACACTGTCCCTTCAGAACAGCGAAACAGACATCAAAACGAAATGGTGCTGTTTCGCACAGCCCTAATCATTATCTCCAAAAATTCTTGCCTCTTCGAAAGGAAATGCTCACTTTGTCTGCGTTATTGATCGAGTACAAATGTTTTAAAAAATGATTTTATATTCTAAAATTTGATTTTATATTTCATTACAAAAGAAACAAAGGAAGAACTTGAGGACCTAAACAAAGAAATTAAGAAAATTGCTAATAAAGTTCGAGCCAAATTAAAGAGTAAGTATTTAAAAAAAAAAAAAAAAAGTGATTTAAATATTTCATAGAATTTAACACATGCGCCTGTGATATCAAGGAAGGATTTAAATTTGTTGAATTTTCACTTCAGTATAATAGCTCCATCATAATCATATAACTGGGACATTATTGTCCTTATCGTAAGAACCCATACTGTAAGAAAATGCAATATAGTATGACACAAAATATAGTTTTACTTAGAATTCTAAATGTTCAAATAAGTGTCACTTATTGTCTCAAATTTATCTGTATTTACTAATACATTATATGTAAGGAAGTCTGTAGAAGCCAAATACGTTAGAGACAGGCACAATACTCGCTGAAATTTTTCTTTAAAACAAGCAGCCAGATGGTGTAAGATGGTGTGGGCAGTCCTGTATCAATCTAATTGAGAATCTGGTCCAAAATCTAAATTCCAGCTGCAGAGTGCTTTGGAAAATCAGACCGTTTATTTAGATAAATAATAGTGTAGTAGTCTCAGAGCTTGTATAAACAGGGAAATAGCCCCCCAAAAAGGCTACCATGGACTACTTCACCTGTGTGTGTCCAGACGAACGGGAATGTGTTTCCCCAGGGACAGGTAGCAGCACCACACTTTTTGCTACTGCTGCTTGTCCCCAGCGAGCACCTGTGTCGTGCACTCTGGCATATAGCAGGTTACCCCAGGTGGGCTAGGGGAGGCTGGGGCCAGCAACTATGCTGGCCGCAGCAGCCTTACCTGGGACCCTCCCAGAGCTGCAGCCTTTTTGGTGTGGGTTTTCTTGACCCCGGGATCTCCCAGGGTCAAGCCCTCCTGCCCACACTGCAAAGTAGCAGTACGGGAAATGGCGGCATGTACGATGTGTGGAGCCGCAGACGGGTCTGTGGCACCATAGACCATGTGTCTGCACTCGTCTGGACACACCCTTTTAATCCACAGAAAGAGTGCTTTTTTGTGATTTAGGTTAATCCACTTTGAAAGTGAGCTGTGTTAACCTGTAAAAGGCACTGTTGGCCTTTGTCAAATTTAAAACACAGCCATTTTTTTTATTCACTAGGTTACATTAGGTTATCCATAACTGGATATCTCAAGTTAAGGCTTCATTTAATGAACAAATAATTGTCCAGTAAATGAGGGTTATTATTTAATTGTCCTAGCAACCCAATTTTGTTAAACACTTTTTAAACATAACCCCATAAATCAGTAGGAAACAGGTTTCATAGTTTCTAGGGTCGGAAGGGACCTGAACAGATCATTGAGTCCAACCCCCTGCCATGGCAGGAAAGAGTACTGGGGTCCAACGACCCCAGCAAGGTGTACATCTAGCCTCCTCTTAAAGACCCCCAGGGTAGGCGCCAGCACCACTTCTCTTGGAAGTTGGTTCCAGATCCTAGGTGCCCTGACAGTGAAGTAGCGCCCTCTGATATCTAGCCTAAATCTACTCTCTGCCAGCTTGTGACTGTTATTTCTAGTCTCTCCTGGTAGTGCTTGGGGCAACAGGGACTCCCCCAATGCCTGTTGGTCCCCTCTGACTAGTTTGTAACAGGCCACTAGATCCCCCCTCAGCCTTCTTTTGTGGAGGCTGAACAGGTTCAGGTCCCATAGCCTCTCCTTAGGGCCTGCCCTGCTGCCCCCTGATCATGCGAGTGGCCTCCTCTGGACCCTCTCCACGTTGTCC